AAAATTATCAAAAATAAAGTATCAGTATTTTTGTATCTGCCATTATTTTCTTTTGCACCTCCATCTGTACAAAAAAAAAAGTAAAAAAGGTCCCGTAAGGGATGATCTGGTGGTAGTGTAGGAGTTGGATTTGTAACCGTGAGGTCATGGGTTCAAACCCCCGGGACACTTGCAGAGTTTACCCAATGAAATAATGAACCAAAATTATCATTTTAAAAAATTAAAATGAACACATTAGTGAATAAAAGAGGTCAACAAATATTTTACCAATCAAAATATTATGGTAAATTTATCAAAACATTTAATAAAAAATAAGAAAGTAGATGAAAAATATAATGAACCAAAATTATCATTTTAAAAAATTAAAATGAACACATTAGTGAATAAAAGAGGTCAACAAATATTCTACCAATCAAAATATTATGGTAAATTTATCAAAACATTTAATAAAAAATAAGAAAGTAGATGAAAAATATGTAACAAGACAATTATGATTGGTTGAAATATGAAATATTTCCTTTGTCATAAAAAAAATTAGTAAAAAAAATATATTTATTATTATTTTCTTATATAAAATAACAAGTCGTTGTTGCAATGACAAGTTCTACTTAGCCACAAATAGTTCTATTTAACTACCTCTTTCGGGACCACAAATCTTGAACTTAGGCTACCTTTTTTGGGACCACAAATCTTGAAGTATCATATAACATGCATGTGACAATATTCATTTAGCAAAGGCTAGTGAAGGCACATGGGCGACCACGATTTACAAACTATAAATAGTATTTTTTGACTAAAATATCAATATAAATTAATTCTTATTTTCGGATTTGGTAGAACTACTTATTAAAACGAGGTAGGATTAGGTGCTGATAGTCACCCATCGACACCATATTGATTCATTAATAACTATTAGATTATAAAATTAATTTAATGATTTATATTAACTTAGGAGTGATGTTATCGCTGAAAATTTGTCGATGACGGCCAAATAAAGATAGATCTGTCAAAATCGACGTAAATCGAATTCTCCAGTCTATTAAAAAAACTATCCGGGTTAGATCAATATTGGGCTAATTTCTCCAATCCTTATATCTCATCCGTGGTGGGCACTTGGGCTAAGAACAATATTGGACTGCCTTGTCCCATCCTTGTATCGGGTCACTAGTTACCTCCGGGGGTCCAAAATGGTTTGGGACTAACAAATGCCTCACACAAAAATATTTGCGCGACAAGTTTTTGGGCAAAATGTCAAATTTTGAAACTCAATATTTTTGCAAGAGGTTTCGGCGGTACTTTGAATCTGGCTTCATATGGCCTCATCCGAAGCAGTAGGAAGCTGACGTTCCTTCCTCGACATCGAAACTGCTTTTCTGCGCATATGATGAATGATCTTTGCCATTGACGTTCCACAGGAGTTGTTCCACCTTGGCTGCCTTTCGAAAAGTTGTCCGAAATCATTATATTCTTCAATTGCCAATTTGTCACGAAGTTGACGCGTCATATTTTCGACCATCATGTCGATGATTTGGTTTTCAAGTATCCACACCTGACGTTGACCTTTTGCCTTGCGAAACATTTCCAAAAAACTTCGTACCGGCTCATCATGCTTTTGCCGTAGGTTAGTTAAGTTGAATATTATCACTTTTGGAAGTAGGCTGTAAAACTGCTCGTGGAATGTCCTTTCTAGGTACTCCTATGTATGAAATGAACTAGAAGAGAGAGATACATACCATGTAAAGGCCGATCTGGTGAGGGATAACGGAAATAGTTGGACTTGTACCACTTATTTTCCACGAAGTCCCCTCTGCATAGCGCCGTGAACCGATCGATATGCACAATTGTCGAGCGCGAGTCCTCCCCCCTAAAAAACATAAACTCCGGGGTCGAGCATTCCAGAGGAGAGGATGGTTGAAGGTTATCTGATCCGAGAATAGTTGTTGATAGTACGGCCTTGCAGGCAGCCGGACGAGATCATCACATATTCTTCGAACTGCCTCTTCAATCACCTACGGATCAATAATCGGCTGCGGTGGTGAGGGTATTTATGCATATCCTTCGAGCCGTACGGGAGCTGGTGTTGGTTTGCCCGGATTTGAGACCGTTCTATTCGAATTTGACAGAGTTGATCCTCCCGAAGCTGGCGGGTCTTTCCAGGCCCTTTCCGACGCTGATGATGCAACCGGAGGTAGCGAAGGTGGCGGATCTACATTTCTTATCGCCCTCAGATCTGGCGTCGTGGTCGGAGCTATTTTTTGGGTAATTTTTTGAGCTAGATGCGCTCACGAAGGTGGCAGGGCTGTCCTCCGAGTAATATCTGGAGCTGGAAATGCTCCCGAAGGTGGCAGAGTTATCCTCTAGGTGATATCTTAAGCTGGAAGTGCTCCCGGAAGTGCCGGGATATCCTCTGGGCAGTGTCTGTAGCTGGAAGTGCTCCCGGAGGTGGCAAAGCTGTCCTACGGGTGATATCTGGAGCTGGAAGTGCTCCCGGAGGTTGCAGGGATGTACTATAGGTAGTGTCTGGAGCTGAAAGTGTTCCCATAGGTGGCGGGGCTGTCCTCCGGGTGATGTCTGGAGCTGGAAGTGCCACCGGATGTACCTTCCAGGTCGTTTGTCGTGCCACTAGCGGTGGATGTGCTACTAGAGGTATCTCTCCGGTTATCTGTGGAGTTGGTGGTGGTCTCGAAAGAGTCAGAGCTGCACCCAAGTCATCCGTGGTGCCGCCGGAGCCGGAAAGTTCTTGAATAGTACAAAAATCCATTGATTTGAAGATCCGTAATTTTGGAGCTTCCCGGACACCTTAGGAAATTTCATTTCGTGGTATACTCCTTGTCCCCCATGCAGAGACGGCGCCGATGAAGTCGGTACATTTGATTCGCACGCCACTGTGACGGCCGAAGGGGCTAATCCCTAAGGTCCCGATTTTAGCTAATTTGTCAAATGATGAGTACAGTGATCGAAAGAGTGAGTAACAATATCTTTGCATTATTATTATTTTTTATGTGTGTGGAATTGTTGAGATTTTCTATTTGAGGTGTAATTCGCTTGTATTTTTTTTTTTTACTTTGTCGGTATTGAATTTTGATTGCTTATGTTTGATAACCATTTTTTTTAGTTCATGCATTTATTATCAATTGTTTATATCCTATAATACTCTCTATATTTTTTATGATCTATACTACTCCATTCGTCCCAGAAGTAAGTATCCATTTGCTTTTTGCACGTAGTTTTAGAAATATTAGTATTATATTGGGATATAATAGGAATAAAGTAGAAATGACTAAAATAACTTTATTAGTATGTGTGATATAAAGATAATGACATTTGTGTAATATATTGTAAGTTGTAAGGGTATTTGTAATGTTAGGTAGATAGTACAGTTACTAAAAAAGGAAATGGATACTTTGTTATGGGACGGACTAAAATGAAAAAATGGATACGTTGTTATGGGACGGAGGGAGTATTATATATATATTTTTTTCATTTATACTTGCATGTATGAACCTCTATAGTCTCACAGAATAACATCGACGACTCTTGCAAGACAAATAGTTTTATCTACAACTTTTTCAAGTAACAGAAGTTAAAGATAATTATTAGAATTCTATTGCATGTGCAATTGGTTATCTTATGAATTACTGTACTACTTATTTATATAAAAAGTCATGTTTTACTTCGTTCTTCACAGGTGAAAGAGGGGTGAACAAATTACTTCATGGACATAAAAAAATGCTTTAATACCTTTAGAATGAGTCAAGATACTTTTCAAAAATTATGATTTGATTTAGAAAATATGTATAGATTAAATGCTCCATACAGAATGTTAATTTTGAAAAAAGTTGGAATATTTGTTTAGGTACTTAGTAAAGGTGCTTCAAATAGAGATGCATAAGAGCAATTTTAACATTATGGATAAACTTTTAGTCTAACATTTAAAGAAGTTTTAAATGTTATTGGTGGTCTTTCGATGGATATATTGAAGCTAAGAGATTCTGAGTTCCGCGAAGTACCATCATATATCATTAATAATCCTCGATATATTCCACATTTCAAGGTATTTGTAATATTTCTTTTTTTTTTCTTTTTCAAAATTTTATATTGGCTAATTTTCAATTACATTTGCACATTTTGGGGGTATTCGCAATTTATGTCCCTATATTTAGCCGTCTTTTCAATTTGTGTTCCTATAACATTAATTTCGTAAAAAATGTCCCTCTATTTTACTAATCTGCGCAAAATCTAGTCTAAATGCAAATTAGAATAATATTAAGGGTAATTGAATAACGTCGTTGACGGAGTAATCACGTGCCACTCACGTGACCCTGTATTAGACCGAACTGGTTCGGTTCAATCCTGGTTCGGTTCGATCCCAGTTTGGTTCGAACCCGGTTCTGTTCAAACCGCTCCATATCTTTTCCAGACCGATCTCATTCCCCCATTTCTCAGTCCAGTCGTGATAAGCCCTAGGTCCTTCGAGCATCACCACCCCATTTTCCCCACTGATACTCCGCCCGTATTTACAATTGCAAAATCCTAATTCCCATCAATCATTGCCATCCCTAGTCGAGCTGGATTGAAGACGGAGTTAGTTTAGGAGTTCGTTCGTTCAATTCCATCGTGGAGGCGTAGATTCCAATATGTGGTTGACAATGGCACGTAGAAGCAAGCACGCTCTTGATTTCACCCCCAATTACAGTAAGTTGAGGCGTATTTTAATTTTTTCAGTCTATGTTAGGATTGTAGTTAATTTATTTGATGTCATCTATGAAAGGATTTAATTTCAATATAATGAGGTAAAAAAAAAAAGATTATGTTATGCTAGAAATTGAATTATGGCCAGTAAATAACATTGTGGTTACATGTTGATTTATGTTCTTTTGTTCTACTGGTTTGAATGAATATACTACTACATTATGTTAAACACTTAGCATTACTGAAATGTAGGGGTGATGTTCAATGAAGATTCTTCTGCTACTTTGAAAATTTATTTTGACGGGGTGATGAGGCGTAAGCCTCGTAGGGGATATTTAGGGGGAGAACATGATTATTTTGATTTTGTTGATATAGATAAATTAAGTGTGTTGGAAATGTGGGGATATGCAGAAAAATTGGGATATAAAGAAGCGAATAGTGTTAGATTTTGGTTGAAGTACGGTAACAACTTTGATAGACAATGCAAGTGTTTGGAAAGTGATAAGGATATATTGTGGATGACAAAACATATTCCAGATAATTATGAACTCGAAATATACTTAGAACATCTAGATATCGGGCTTAACCAAGATCCTCAATCCAATATAATTAGTAGAATAAAAGATTTAGGTGGTGAAGTTCCTCGGGCTAGCGATTGTGTAGAAGGTGAAATGGAAGAAAATGATTCTGATTTTGATGACTTAGATAATGAAGTTGAGTTAGAGAGTGGGGTACTCGAGGTTGACATTGAAGGTAGGATGAAAGGACAATCTATTGTGGATAATTTTACAGTTGCTGAAGATGTTTTGAAAACTTTACAAAAAGAAGATGGTGAGGCAGATGTCATGGGTAATGATAGTAAGTTAAATAATGGGATGGAAAGTGATGGAAGTGAAAAGGAGGGGACAAACCAGTTTGAAATATATAATTCAAACACTGGTGGTGAAAATCCAGAGCTGAAATTGGGGTTGTTGTTTAAGTCGAGGGCTGAGGCTAAGTTTTCCATTGAAAGCCATTGTTTTAGGAGGGGGATGAGTGTGAAATTTTCAAAGATTGACAAGAGTAGGTTGAGAGCTACATGCAAGAAACAGGGGTGTGAGTGGTTCGTGCTCGTGTCCAAGGTACAGGGTGATGAAGCATGGAAGTTGTGTAGCATGAATGAAGTTCATAGCAAATGTGGATGGACTTATGACAACACAAGTATTAAGTCTTCCTGGATTGGGAAGACATTTATGAAAAAGTTGAAGGAGAATCCGAAGTTGGATCCTGGTGCTTTTAGGGATGAAATATGTAGAACATTGAGGTGTAAGGTCTCGATGTCGAAGGCATATAGAGCTAGGAGAAAAGCTTTAGACTTGTTGCACGGGTCTAATGTGGAGCAGTATGACTTGTTATGGGATTACTGTAATGATATTGAGAGATGTAATCCAGGCACTGGTCTGTCTTTGAAACTTATAGATGATGAAGAGTCTGGATTACAATGGTTTCAAAGGATATATGTTTGCTTTTCTGCATGCAAGAGAGGCTTTCTTGAAAGCTGTAGGCCGGTGGTAGGTGTGGATAGATGTTGGCTTAAGAAGAGCTTTGGAGGGCAGTTGTTAAGTGTTGTGGGTATTGATGCGAACAACAATATTTTTCCTATAGCATACGCTGTGGTTGAGGTTGAGAAAAAAAATAGTTGGTTGTGGTTCTTAGAGTGGTTGAAGAGAGATTTGGATATTGAAGATGGTTATAATTGGACGTTCACGAGTGATAAACAGAAGGGACTGATTTCTGCTTTCGAATCCATTCTGCCCCAGGCTGAGAATCGGTTCTGTGTGAGACATTTACATACAAACATAAAACGTGATGGGTATGCAAGCATTGCAGTGAAGAGATTGTTATGGGCAGCAGCTAAAGCTACCACAATTCCGGAGTTTAAATGAAGGATGGAGGAAATGAAAAAGGCTTCTGAAGATGTGTTTAATTGGTTAGAAAATAAGAGTCCAGATCATTGGTCTAGGTCACATTTTAGTGTGTATCCTAGATGCGACATGCTTCTTAACAATACATGTGATTCTTTCAACAGTTTTATTATGGAAGTGAGAGATAAACCAATTATTTCCATGTTAGAAAAGATAAGAAACTTGTTAATGGTGAAGATGCAGTTGAATCGGGAGAAATCTGAAAAATGGGACGATCCACTTTGTCCGAAACTAATGAAAATAATGAAGAAAAGGATGGAAGAGGTTTCTGAATTCATTACAATGAAAAGTGATGATTGGAATTTTCAGATTACTGGATCTTTTGACCAACATACAGTTAATGTGAAGGATAGAACATGTAATTGCAGAAAATAAGACTTAACAGGCATCCCATGTAAGCATGCATTATCTGCAAATTGGTGTAGAGGAGAAGATCCATTGGCTTATGTCCACAAATGCTATTTTGTGTCTAAATACAAAAAGTCATATGCTTATCCAATCTTACCTTTGAGTGGACCTGATTTATGGGAAAAAACAGTCAACCCTCTCCCACCGGTTGAAAATAAAAGTGTTGGAAGACCAGTAACCATGCGACGCAGAGAACCCAATGAACCCCTTCCAAAATTAAAAAATCCTATAGACTCAAGGGTGCACCTAGAAAAATTAGGTGCAAAACGTGTCAAAGTTTTGGGCACAACTCCATAACTTGCCCAAAACGAGCTTCTATTCGTGAGCCACTGGAAGATGCTCAGAATGAGGATTTGGGAGGAGATGTCCATAACACAGTGTGCTTTGACGCATCCTCGCAGCCAATGCCTAGGGAGTCGGATAATCTCACAATGGTATGCTTTGTAAAACTTCAATTAAATTCCATTTCACTTGATATCCGTCATTTTTGGTTTCAATGTTTACAGGATATTGGTGATGCTCCATCAACAACAAGATCATGCATAAGACCAAGGAAGAAAAAAAACACCAACTCAAGTAACTGTATGGTTTGCTTATATGTACTTTCATTTCACAAGTTCACTGTCTGGTTTGTTGTTTGTGTTTCTAGGCTACCACTACTGCTCGTTCAAAAGCAAAAATCTGCACTAGTCCAAGGAAAAAAATGGCTTAATTAAAGTATAGTAACATTTCTTGGGAATGTTAGATACAATTTTTATTACAACTCTGGTACTAAATGAACTTTCTTTATTTGTAGATGCCTTCGACGTCCAACACCATTCATACACCTGTTATTGTTAAAGGAGAAAACACATTCATTACCTTATCCAACCTTCAATCGTGTGTTTCCGATATAGTATATGGTGGCAGCACGACAGTCGTGGCACCAATCGAAGCACACATCCAGCCAACATAAAAAACAAGGGCAGGAGGTGCCTCAAATGATAAAAAGAGAGCCAATCTAAAAAGCAAGATAAACCCACCAAAAAGAAGAAGTAGAAACTTCATACACCTAATAAAATTTTACTGCCCTTAATTTGCATTTGATTTTGTGAATCAATATGTTTGAAAACTCTTGGGAATTATGTTTTTATGGGGAACATCATGGATTGTTGATATTTCAATGTGATATGCAATTTGAAATATTTGGGGATTTAGGTATTGGCATTTGTTTATGTGATGTACTTTTAAGTAAATTTTATTTTTTCTTGGCAATGCACACAGGTTCATCAATTGTTGCCTAATTGTGGCTGTTTATTTTACGTTTTTGCATAGGTTTATTCATGCACTGAGTTGTATAATTACGCTCCATTGACATTCCATACAAACGAATACAGGTCCCCCTATACACAAGCTGCTCCAATTTGTAATCACAATCCATACAAACGAATTAATCACGATCAAACTTAAAGATGTGAAATATATTACGATTACAACATTTCTTCATAAAATAACAAACAATGCTCCTTCCAACACGAGAATCCAAAGCTGAGTTTCAAGCAAAAAAATATTACAACAACACGATAGACCGACACAATACATCAACATTTCAACTTATGATATAACAACAACAATCCAACACCTGGATCACGCAACACATTATCACTAATATTACCCTTTGGCGATAGCCAATTTCGGAGGCGAGGTAGCGTTGACTATCACCATAAAGCCGAATACCAAAAAAATGAGCGCAATAACCACCATATTAAGTAATATTAAACTGCTATGTTGTTTAACATAGCCAACGTGCACCGACGGATGTTTGTTGTTCTGGCGTTTCATCCTTTCAACTTCTTCTTCCAATGCATTTAGCTTTTTCATCAATTGGTTTTCTTGTGCTTCAACTTCAACAACATCGTCATCCACGTCGATGACGTTCTTTCGCTTCTGAATATTGTCGAGCCGATGAATTTTAGACATCAATGCATTGATCACTTCCTTATATCTATCTGTGGGTTCCTCATCCCACCATTAAAACATACTACTGTAATTTCCATGTTTCTACAAAATTAAAATTAAATAAATATTTTCATAATGAAGAACAAAAATAATAATAATTTCTTTTAAAAAAAATACAAATGAAATTACCGCATAGTTAGGACAAGCTCTGTATCGCCTACCCGGATTGCTGGTGCTCCATAAGGTAAGCAATGGGAGCTCATATCCACATCTACACACCAACTTTGGAATATCCTCGATTGGGGACTCTACAATCCGCAGATTTCTATAAAAATTGGTTCGGGATGAAAACGTCGAGCTGATTCTCTGAAATCCGGCAAGAATTGGAGGAATGATCTACTAAACTCTACCTTCAATCTAGCTCGTTTAAGGATGGCGATGCTCAAAGGACCTAGGGCTTCTTGCGACTGGACTGAGAAATGGGGGAATGAGATTGGTCTAGAGAAGATATAAAGCGGTTTGAACAGAACCGGGTTCGAACCAAACCGGGATCGAGCCGAACCGGTTCGGTGGAGAACCGGTTCGGTCTAATGCAGGGTCACGTGGGTGGCACATGATTACTTCGTCAACGGCGTTCTTCAATTACCCTTAATATTCTTCTAATTAGCGTTTAGACTAGATTTTGCGCAGATTAGTAAAATAGAGGGACATTTTTTACGAAATTAATGTTATATGGACACAAATTAAAAAGATGGCTAAATATAGGGACATAAATTGTGAATACCCCCACATTTTGCATATGTCGATAGGATTGTATTGGAGCTATTGACGGTACACATATCATTGTGGTTGTTCCAGAAGAAATGCAATTACGATATAGAGGGCGAGAAAAATCACCAACTATGAATGTTCTTGTCGTATACGATTTAGACTTATTGTTTACTTATGTTTTGACGGGAGGGGAGGCATCCACACATGATGCATGTATATTTCTAGATACCATCAATGAGTCTAAGTTCAATTTTCCGAAACCTCATCCATGTAATTTTTTTTATTACAAATTATTAATTTAGAAACAATTATTTGATTACACAATAATTTTGTTGCACATTTAGAAGAATTTTATTTGGCAGATAAAGGTTATTCATAAAGAAATAATTTTTGGACGTCATATTTGAAGATAGGGTACCATCAACTGGATTTTCATGCCAATGGTCCAAGGGATATCGAGAAACCTTTAATTACTATCATTCATCGTTAAGGAGTTCTATTAAAGGGTTGAATTACTCAAGGCTAGATGGAAAATACTTAAATTACTGTCGATATATTCAATGGAACTCCACTATTTAATTATTTGTGAGTTTTTTGTTTTGCATTATTTAGTAATTATTTTAGTATATTTTTATTTTTGTTCAATTATAATTTTTTTTAGAATTTAAAGCAATTAAAATTATTTTGTTTTACATATAAAATATTTTATTTGTAAAATATATAAATTAATTAGAATACTATTAATTTATTTTTATATATTTTTTAGTACGTAAATTCTATGTTAAAAATAAATAAAATAAAATAATCAATTTGAAATTATAAGTTTAGTAAAATAATAATTAATCAATAGGTAACACAATAAATATAAATAATACTTATAAATTTAAATATAAAAATAATCTCGTTTAAAGTATAAATAACAAATATAAATAAGTTAATTTAATAAATATTTCATAATAAACAATCAATTGATTCAGTTAGTTAAATTAATTAATTAAACGAGTTAACAACTAATTGTCAAACATACCTAACTCAAGTCATCACATGTGCCCAAGAATTATGGGTGACATGATTTTTAGCCTTGAATTAATGCTTAAGCTTTTTTTATTGTTTTTTAAATTTATTTTATTTTTGATGGATTAGAACTATCCAATTTAACCAAATTCTAGAACCCATTGATGAATCCAATCCAAAATAACCAACCAACCTAACTAATATTGATTAATTTAAGAACAAATGACATTCGCTACAAAAAAAAAAAAAAAAAAAAAAAATCTAAAGAGCTATAATATTTTTAACTATTAAATATTTTTGTATTTAAAACATATCATTTAATAATAAAAATTAATTTATCACTAAAAATAAAATGTTATACTACAAAATTAATTTCGTCGCTAAAATATTTTTGCTATAAATATAGAAAAAATATTTTAGCTACAAAATTATTTTTCATAGCTAAAAAAATTATACATATTTTGCTGTTAAAACTTTTTTTTTTTTATCAATTTTAATTTTATAACAAAAGAGCTTTCTTTAGCTAGGAAATTATATTTTCGTATCTATATCTCTTTTCTTTAAACTTCATTGCAAAAATCTTATTTTTTTGTTACGAAAGTCATATTTGTTGCCATAAAACCTTTAGTAACACGATATAGGCGTCGAAGTGGATTTCATCGCAAAAATATTTTTGCTATGAATATATACATTTTGCTACAAAAATCTTTTGTTGCTAGATTTTAATTTTTTTATAGCGATTGATGGTCTCACAGAGATGTTTTTCCCTACTTGAAATCCACATTTGAATACAAATGATATGTGCAACATAATGAAATGAAAACTCTCAA